CTGGCATTTCTCAGCAGCTGACTGGAACAGCTGTGTCCAAAGCATTTCTGACCCCATTTGTAACCTGTTAACTTCCATAATTGAGCCCTGAACTGTTAGTAGTGTCTCTGAGTTCTGTGTAGCCATTGCAATGGATTATTGAAACCAACTGAGGAGTAGATAGAGCTGTGGGGGCAATGGTTGATGCCACATATTTTTGCATGTGGTTAAGATTTCATTCCTAGTGGTAGCAAAATGAATACATAAATCGTAAATGTCTTATTATCATAGAATTAAATAATGAAGATCATTGAGAAGAAAAAGCTTCTAGGCCTCTTAAAATCAGAGCACTCATGGAGGACTAGCATTTAAACAATTCAAATCCTGCATTTTTGTCAGTAAATTTATGCAGTAGAAAAGTTAGGACATAATATCTACTAATTTAATGGCGCTCAACTTGACACCTAAAGAAATAGGGCTTAACCACTTCATCCTGGCAGAGGCAATTCACAACATGCCTTAGACTATTGTATAACACAAAAGAGTTCTTAAGAACAAAATTTTACAGGAAGATACTTTTTCCTACTAAGTCCCTTAAAAAGCCATCATATTTGGGAAAACCATAGTAGAATTCGATAACCTTGGCTAATGTGAAACTAAGTAGAGTTCAGTTTTCATTAGTAGCAGTATATGTGTATTCTTCTCAAGATTTATACAACTTTTATTTCCTTTTAGTTCATCCAATACAAGTTAAATTTACCAAAATATTTTTTCAAGTGCCCTGTAAAATAGATGCAAAACAAATGCTTAACGTACTAAATCTAAGCACTCAAAACATTTTTATATTAAGAGAATATTTAATTCTATATATTACTCTCCCAAAGGTGAGGGGGTAGTTTTACACAAAAAAAATTTCAGAGATGGCAGAAAATCCTCAAGGATGCATCTGGTATTACTTTATTTTATTATTCCCTTATATAAAGGGAGCTGGGACAATTTCTCATAAGAACTGACTGAGTCAGTACTTTCCATAACAAAGTATGCAGGCAATGTACCTCTCCACGTGGGAATAAACTAACAAGAAAATCATCTTTCAGCATAAGGAACCAAACTCCACAATACTATTATTTCAATTCTAATACACATTTCCCCCATATTTTACAATATCTCTAATTGCAATATATATTTAAAATAATTGTGTCCTGTTTTTTCCCCAAAGTTAATAAACTGAAATTACATGTTAGTAATTATTGTCTAAGGCATGCAACAATCTTATTACATTTCATTATTTAGTAACTTTTCATTAAATTTTTCTACCTATATTGACCACCAAAGCTATACTTGGCACTAATACTACAATGGCAAGCAAAACAGACCAACCCTACCCTAGTAAAATCTTGTTACCTACTGGGAAGAAACTGGAAAACGGTAGTAACAATACCCATACCCATGTCAACATGGTAATAAGGGAACTACAACATCTAAGTATGAACAATAAGCCACTTTGATATCAGCTTCCTGGACTAGTAAAGGGAAATGGTGACAAGAAGAAACTGGCCAAATAATAGCAAATGATAAAATGATACAGAATACATAAGGGGAAAAAGAAAAAAAAAAAGGAAATTGTTGTAAAAATAAATCACTGCTCTAAAATGTTAACTTCTGTGTCACCTAAAGTCATTTTAAACATAAACTTATTACATATAAGTATGTTTATAGATTTACATAAAACATACATAACTCACTTTATAAAAAACAAATTGCCTTCTATACCTGATGTGGTGTGGCACTGTGAGTTAATGCACTGGACTGCAAGGTGGGTTTGCACTGCAAGGTCGGTGGTTCAAGCTCACCAGCCGCTTCTTGGAAATCCTATACAGGGTTGCTATGAGTTGGAACCAACTGGATGGCACTTAACAACAACGTACCTGATGTAGAGCCCTGGGGGGAGCGGCTGGACTGTTAACTACAAGATAGGCACTTCAATCCCACCAGCCACTCTCAGAACCCCTATACAGGGTCGCTGAGTCAGAACTGACTTGATGACATACAACAGCATACCTGGTGTTACAAGCTGTTGTTGTTAAGTGTCATCAAGTCAATTCTGACTCAAGTTCCCTCAGTCTCTTTCTGACCAACAAACCCAATATTTTTTTTATAATTTTGAGTTTTGTTCCACATTTGATCCCACGCTATCCAGGCCCTTCCAAGGTGGTCCCTTTTAGAGCAGTTGGTAGTGGTAGCCAGGCACCATCTAGTTCTTCTGGTCTGAGTCACGGAGACTGAGTTTCATATGTTCCATTAGTCCATTGGACTACTTGATTCCAAGCATCTTCAATTTTCACCACTTTTCTTTCTTCCACACATGGAGAGACCAGTAACTGCACCTTAGATGGCTGCTCATGAGTTCTTAAGATCCTAGTTGCTACTCACCAAAGGAGAATATAGAACACTGTCTTTGTGAACTACAGTTCTTTGTGGACTACAGTATCCCCTGAGACAATGACCTTGAGTCCCCAAGACGTAGTAACTCATCTCAAGTTGCTTAACTAAAAATATATGTTATAAAGATAAGTAAAAACCAGGGAAGGCACAAGACTGAATTTACAATATTATGATATGATCTAAAAACTTACCAAATTTCAAAAATAACAAAATGTTAACAGTAGTGGTACACAGGCAACAGAACTAAGGGTGATTGAACTGCCAAAAGAACAAACAGATCTGTGCTGGAAAAAGTACAGCCAGAGTGCTCCTTGGAAGCCAGGATAGCCAGACTTCATCTCTCACATTCGGACATTTTGTCAGGAAGGACCAGTCACTGGAGAAGGAAATGGTGTTTGGTAAAGTGGAAGGTTGAAGAAAAAGATGAAGACCCCTAATGAGACGGACTGGCACAGTGGCAGCAATCAATGGACTCAAATATAACAACGATCGTGAGGTTGGCCTAGGACCAGACAGTGTTTTGTACTGTTGTGCATAGGGTTGCTATGAGTCAGTACCAACTCGACAGTACCTAACCACAACAATATTATCATCTCAGTGACAGCACTGTATGTATTTCTGCACAATTTCTGAAGTTTAACAGCTAAAAGCGAAGCTACTAATTGGGGTAGTTTATTTATTAGGAAAAAAACTAAATATCTCCCCTGAATCTAAATCCCCAATTTTTTCCCCCATTTACTCTTTTACAAGCAGTTATATTCAAATTAGAATGTTGTTGTTGTTAGGTGCCATCCTGTTGGTTCCAACTCATAATGACCCTATACACAAGAAAACGAAAGTCTGCGAGGCCCTGCACCATCTTCACAATTGTTGTGATATTTGAAGCCACTGTTGTAATTGAGTCACTCCATCTCACTAAGGGACTTCCTCTTTTTCACTGGCCATCCACTTTACCTAGCATGATGTCCTCTCAGAGACTCATCTTTCCTGACAGCATGTCTATAGTATGAAAGTCAAAGTCAGGGGCTATACTTCTTCCAAAACAGATTTATTCATTCTTCTGGCAGTCCACATATATTCAACGTTCTTCATCAAAATCATGTATCAAATGTATTGATTATTCTCTAGTTTTCCTTATTGTCTAGCTAGCTTACCCATTTGAGGTGATGAAAAATACCATGGCTTGGGTCAGGCGCATCTTAGTCCTCAAAGTGACATCTTTGCTCTTTAACACTTTGTTGTTGTTAAGTGCCAGCAAGTCAATTCCAACTCACAGTGACCCTGTGTACATTTTCCAAGGAGCAGCTGGTGGGTTTGAACCTTGCTATCCACAGTCCAGTGCTTTCCCTCCAGCATCCCACCAGGAGTTCCTTTAACACTTTAAAGAGTTCTTTTTCAGCAAATCTGCCTAATGTAACTCTTTAGATTTCTTTAGATTTCTAAGGGAGAGTTTTGGCTTAGGGGGCCATGAGTTCATGTTAATAGTGGTGCAATAATTTGGATAGGATTCAGAGCATTGTTGGACAACTTGAAGAATGTTACCAATGTCCGAATTATACATGATGAAATTGTTAAATTGGTGTTCATTTATTTCATTGCTGTTAGCCTGAGTCTTACACTAATCTGTAAAATGGATGATCAACTCTATCTTGCAGGATGCTGTAAGGCATTAAATTAAATACCTACAAAGTGTCTTTCCTGTTATTCAGTAGGCACAAATAAAGCAGCTACTGTTATCATTTATTATTATCTGTATCAGTGTGCCTTTTAGGCTTTGCTGTGCTTTTCACCATCTCACTTTGTTCACCTTTTCCTTTCTTTTCCCTCTAGCATTGGTGCACATTTTCAGTGTAATTTTCACCCCATAAAAATTAATAAATAAAATAATTACATAGTTTTGATGTATTCTACTGAATTTTTTTGTTTTCTCAAATTTAATAAATAACCTGTCTCTTTTTTTATGGCTTTCACTACGGATTCACTCTCCATTTAATACTATGATAAAAACAGACATAAACCTAGCTTAAGATCTGCCATAAAATAGTTTACTGGGCTTGAGCATGCATGTAGCCCTAACTTTCCTCCCTTGCAAACTGAGAATATCTGATACAAATTACCTAAAAAACAACAACAACAAAACCTTCTGTTCTAAAATAAAGGAGCTGTGGTAGTGTGGTGGTTATGAATTGGGCTGCTAACCTCAAGGTCAGTAGTTCGAAACTGCCAGCCGCACCAAGGTAGATAGATGAGACTTTCTGCTCCTGTAAAGATTTACAGCCTCGGAAACCCTGTGCAGGGTCACTATGAGTTAGAACTGACTCCACAGTACTTAACAACAACAACATTCTAAAATAAACATTCTATAACGTTTACAATTTAAAAATCAAGTTATTTGGCTAACATCCAAATGAAGAAACACTATCTTGGATTAAAACAGTGCGTTTCCTTCTCAAGCAATCATTGGCCCATCAGCACTGGTGAAGATGGTACTGAGGACTTACCCCCACCCGATTGCATCACTTCATCCAACTTCCAGCAAAATAAACCCATAACTACCTACTGATGAATTTACTTACAGAGGAAATGGGTAAGCCAAGCCCCACTGTGTTGAGGACAGTGGATGTGACGGTACTGTCATGGTATGGATACTTGATGCTGTTGTCATTACAGAAAATGCCTCTCTGAAATGGATATATTTGGCCCAAATTTAGAACAGCCATAGGCATGGAAGCTGTTGGGGAAGGGAAAAAAAGACACACATGGTTAAATTCAATTCACTTCATTAGGAAGTAAAGTCTACTAGCTGGGATGCAAATCTTAACCTTATTTTGTCCTTTCTGAAAAAGTCAATAAATACCACATGATACCAACAGTGAAGATAGAAGGATCCATGCAGCATTCATCTGGCCAACATCAGCCGCACATTTCTATAAGTATTGTTGTTGTTGTTGTTAAGTGCCGTCGAGTCGGTTCCGACCCATAGCGACCCTGTACAGGGTTTCCGAGGGATCTTAATTGCATTGATCTCTGATTTTATGAACAATATATACAAGAACCTTTCAGGAAGAGAACAAAAGTGGCCCATGGATAAATATAACTAAAATAAAACAGGAAATTTTATATTCTAAATTCTGTAACTAACTCATTTTTTTCAACATACTAAATATGTTTAAGAAATAAGGCAAAAAAGCAAACAAATTTAATGATCATAACAGCTAAATATAATCACAGAGGGAAGATGTACTAAACTCATCTTACATCAGAATTTAAGAGGGTAACAAAAATAATAGAAACTGTAAATATACTTGATATTAAAACCAGAAAGACAGGAACAAACCCTTTGCTTTCCAAATACAAATCAAATACTGTTTTTATTACCCCTGGAAGAGCTCCAAAACCACTTCAACAAGTTATACAGGACCATTTCCTGTTAAAATTTTTCACCTAAAGAAGTGACCCTGAAACACCAAATAGAAGTTGTTAAACGTCGTCAGGTCGGTTCCGACTCATAGTGACGCTGTACAGGGTTTCCAAGGAGCAGATGGTGAGCTGAGTAACTAAAGTTAGTAGTTTCTTAATAAGTCCAAGTTTGGTCATACGTTTAGGCTATGTTCTCTACAATCCAAACTTTCAAGTATCTACTCAGTACTGTGCACTCAATGCTAGGCAGACCAGACATTACAGCTGTTATATAGGAGATATAATTCCAGTACTATTTTCAGAAAACTGTTTAAAAAGAAATGCCAACACAGAGAGTGATGAAACAGTTCTGTATCTTGATTGTGATAATAGTTCCACCACTCTATAAATGTATTAAAACTCACAGAACTGTACATCACAAAGAGTGAATTTGCCTGACCCAAGCCATGGTATTTTCAATAACCTCATATGCATGCGAAAGCTGGACAGTGAATAAGGAAGACTGTAGAAGAATTGATGCTTTTAAGTTATGGTGTTGGAGGAGAATATTGAAAGTGCAACGGGCTGCCAAAAGAACCAATAGATCCATTTTGGAAGAAGTACAGTCAGAGTGCTCCTTGGAGGCCAGGATGGTCAAACTTCATCTCTCACACTTCAGACATATTGTCAGAAGGGACCAGTCGCTGGAGAAGGATATTATGTTTGGTAAGATGGAGGGTCAGAGAAAAAGAGGAAGACCCCCAACGAGATGGACTGGCCAAGTGGCAGCATCGATGGACTCAAGCATGGCAACAATAGAGAGGTTGGCCCAGGATCGGGCAGCGTTTCGTTCTGCTGTGCATAAGGTCGCTATGAGTTGGTACCGACTCGATGGCACCAAACAACAACAACAACAAAATTTAAAAAGAAATACCAAAAAAGGTTGAAAATATGACTAATCACTAAAATGTTACAAAAAGGGCTATAGAAATTCAGAATTCAAGTTAGAAAAAAAACAGAAGAAACACCAGAGTTGAATTTGAAAAGGACAGGTGAATCACAGGCAATACTGGCACCAGGAGAGCGTTTAGTGGTGGAGGGATGCAAGCAAGGACAGCATGCGGATAGCATCAACAAGAGCAAGATGTTTTCAAGGTACGTAATACAGCCACGTGTTCTGCGTGCTCACACATGCCAAGCACTAGGTTACACCAATTAATACTTAAGTCAACCCTATGAAGGATGTTCTTTCATTACCTCCATTTTTCACCTAAAGTTACTGAGACATAAGGAATGAAATTAGTAGGTTGATGGAGCCAAGATTCCAACCCAGGCTATCTGCTTCCAGTATCAGGGTATATGTGGTCTCCCATGTGATCCTGCTACAGGAACAGGTTCGAATTGTGGTGAGGGAGGACAGAAGGGAGAGGGACCCTCTCCTTTGAAAAAGCTCTCGGTACAAAATACCTTTGGATTGCATAGTAAAAACTCAAAGTCAGTGGAATAAAATCTTATTTGCTATACAGTATCTCCAAATTCTGTAATATTGTGGGTTTTGATGGAAGTTATGAGAGTTGCGACTTTTGTATTTATTAAGAAATAAAATACTGATTTAAGAAACTGAACTGGTTTAAAATACTGATCTAAGACATTACTGCCCTCTTTTGTTTAGGGTTAGTAACATAGTAAAATGAAGAGTTCTTGAAAAAATTTACTAAAAAGACCGGAGAGCATTTAATGAATGGAGCTTTGAAACAATCTAGTAACTGAGTGTGACAAGTACTGTTTTGATAGTGAAAACAGATACAGTTTTGAATATAGAAATGACACGACGTGATGACTGAGTAGAATTGCTGGGGACAGGTCTGAAGTGGGGCGAATGATGGTTCCAATGGCAGAATTGTAAAGTGAGAATGTGGAAATGGTTATGGTGGGAAAATTCATTTACTAAGGAGAATAATGTATTTGGAATGACCTGGAACCTTCCCAAATGTTCAGCCTCATCTTCCACTCTCCTCCACAATCCTAAGACTCCAATCACACTACACATTTGCTACTGCCCGAACACACTACACTGACAAAATCCCTACGAGATTTCCTATGTGCTCAGCTTTCTGGCAGGGATACTTGCCCTCTTCTTTTCTGGTAGAGTCGGACTGCTAACCTCAAGGTAAGCAGTTCAAAACTACCAGCCAATCCGTGGGAGATACATGAGGCTTTCTGCGCCTGTAAAGATTAACAGCCTCGGGACCCCTATAACAGAGTCGTTGGGAACCATGGTACACCATCACCACCACCAGCAGCAGCTTTCTGTCAGGGATATTTGCCATCTTCTTTCCCCAGGCACTCCCTTATCTGTCCATGCCACCTTGTATTCTAAACAGCTTTTTGCATGTCTATCAGCAACTTAAAGGACAAGGACCATCTTCAGGGTTTTTGTATCCTTAGCCCCAGGCACACAGTTGGCTCTGAGCAAAAGTTTACAGAATGGTTAAGTGAATAAAATTCAGGGCAGAGATCAGAAGTAAAAAGAGATGTATAGGAGGCTGGTATCAGAGGTGTTAATTTAAGACCAGAAAATAAAACCGTTTTCAGAGAAAGCACAAAGTCAAAAGACTGGCAGTGCTACAGTATTCAGCAGCTAAGGCCTAATAAGTCACATAGAAGACTGTGGAAGAAGGTAGAAGAAAGGATGAATACTCACTATGTCTATCCACTGCCACAGCTCCCACACCTAGCAGAGTGAGCAGCAGGTACTGGCCATTCTTCAAACAAAAGAATGAACAGTAGAGAAATAGATCAATGTTGAGATACACAAGCTACAGGACCTAGCTCAGAGTATCAAATATAAATCTAGGTAAACATAGGAAACCAACTGCTATGATGTCAGGAAGAATGAGAATGGAGTAAAGACTGAGGAACAAATATCCATCATTGATAACCTCAGAGAGAGAGCGAGCACATTACAACATCTACACTGACAAATGAAGAAACATTAATACTGAACTTCAACACTGGGTCTGCATTGTCTAAACATGAATCTTTATCATCATGTTAAATATGCCACAATGACTCCCTCTATTACTCATATGTATTACATACACATATGCAGACATATCCATTCCTTCAAAGTGAACAGATACCTCCACTCCAAAAAGCAACAGAATATTCTTTGTCCACTATACAGACTTTTTGCAATGGTAATTTTTAGAATTGTTACTCCACGCCATTGAGGCAGTTCTGATTCATAGTGACCTTAAATAAGGTTGCCTAGAAGTAGCTTAGCTGATGGGTTTTAACTGCCAGCCTCATGGTTCAGTGCTGATCCTATATCATCACACCAATTTTTTTAGAACAGTGATAGAAAATTCTGTTAAAGTTATTATTTTATTTTCCTCAAAAAGTTAAACATTGGCTTACCATATGATTTAACAATACCACTACTAGATACATAAACACAAAAGAACTGAATGTAGGGCTCAATCGATACTTGCACACTGCAGTATTCTCATAATAGCCCAAAAGTGGATACAACCTAAATGTCCAACAAGAGATGAATACACAAACAAAATGTGGTACAGCCATAAAATGGGTATTATTTAGCCATAAAGAGAAGTGACGTTCTGATACATGATTTGACATGGATGAACCTTGAAAACATACTGATAAATTAGTCAGACACAAAAGGACAAATATTGTATTATCCCACTTACATAAAATGCCTAAACCAGACAAATGTATAGAGACAAAAGTTTCCAAGTGGTTACCAAAGCCTGGGGAAAGGGAAATAATGGAAAGGTACTGCTTACGGGGTATTGATTTTCTGTTTAAGATAATGGAAAAAAAATTGGAAATAGTAGTGATGTTTATACAACACAGTGAACATGATCCATATCTACTGAATTAATGTCACTTAAGAAGAGCAAATGTTTTGTTACATATTTCACCATAATAAACACTTTATACTATAGAAGATTCTACTCAAACTAAATCCATTCATATGGCAGGTATATTCTTTTATTAATACCTAGAGGACTTAAGATACTTTTTTTCACCTTTCTACTGTGAATTGAGTGAACGTTTATAGGCAATACCATCAGCTTTATATTCAAGAAATCATACACTTTGTTTCATCTCAATGATTACACTCCCCCCCTCTCCCTGAAATAACAGTTATCCTACTTCCTCCGGTGGTTCTCCACTGACCTTTAATCATAACTATAGGATATTTTTATCTTAATTAAATTTTCCAGCTTAATAGAAGTCATTTTTACAGTACCCATTTAATGAGTTTTCAGCTGTTACAATAATAGATCCATCAAAGTTCAACTA